CAGCGTGGCACTTTTAATGCTGGCTCGGGCAAAGGGAGACCCTGCCAGGGAAAAGATGGAGAACGTCAGGGTGCTCCCATGCAGGAAATTCACCGACGCGTGGCCCAGGCATGGATTGTGGCCAGGGGTCCCATTAGCCTCCCCAGCAAGCCGTCTGGCCCGAGGGAACCATAATAATCCAAGGTCTTAGCTATCCAGAGATGGAGCTTACAAGGAGGTGTCCCTGAAAATAATGGTATTGAAAATAACCAATGAGAGCTCAGGGTGTCAGTGGGGAGGCTGGTGGCTCTCATTGCCAGAGCCAACCTTCTGTGTCTCCCCCTCCTGGCCACGTCTGATGACTCGGGGGGGCGGGGGTCATAACGCAGAGCTGCATGGAGCATGCTTGGAAAGCCTCCAAGAGGAGGTGTAGACAAGACTCTAGCTTTCCACGGACACTTCACTTTAGAAATGATCACTGAGGAACGAACCAGCAGTGTCCTCTGCCTGCACATGGTTTTGCTCTTAAGCATTTATGAAGCACCTACTGTGTGCCAAGCTCTGTTCCAGATACTCAAGATACTCTAATTAATAGACAGAGCCTTGCCTTCCTGAGACTGATGCTGCAGTGGGGGAGATAGACAGCAAACATAACATAATAAATAATAGTGCGATAGAAGGTAAAAAGCACTTTGGGGAAAAAAAAAAGTAGAGCAGAATAAGGGGATTGGGAGCCCCAGGAGGGACCACCGGACTGGCTATAGTAGTAAGTCAGGTGGTCAAGGTGAAGGTATTGACCTGAGTCACCTTAGAATCTTAGGCTGCGTAAATAGCAAGTGCAAAGGTCCTGAGGCTAGAAATGTGCCTACCAGACATATTCAAGAAACAACATAAAGAGATCAGCATGGCTAGAGTAGAGTGTTTGAGGAGGACAGAGGGAAGAGGTAAGGACAGGTAGGTGACAAGGCAGGTCGTGACAGGCCTTGTGGGCTGAGGGAGGACTTTGGCTTTTGCTCTGCGTGAGGTGGGAGCCATGGAGGGCTCTGAGCAGAGAGAGGGGAGATGAGCTCTGACTCAGGTGCTCACGGGTGTCCTCTGGCTGCGGTGGGAAGAACAGACCACGGAGGGCACAGACAGGAGCTGTGTGATCAGGGAAAAGGCTGGTGCACCGGTGCAAGCAGATGATGATGGGGGCCGGACTCTGTGGTGGCTGAGAAGAGTGGCGAGTAGGCAGATCTGGGATGTATTATTTAAGGTAAATTTCAACATTTGCTGATGAATCAAGTGTGGGTGTGAGAGAGAGGGAGGAGCCCAGGTTTCTGGCTTGAGTACCTAGAGGGATAGAGCGGCCATCCGCAGAGAGGGATAGGTTTTGGGGGGAGGGTCAGAGTTCAGTTTTAGATATTGATTTTATCTTCTAAAATATCTCTTCTTGAAAACCTTCAATTGCATTCGTGTTTATTGTTCTTCATTGGTTGATTCATTCTTTCATTTATTCATCAGTTTACTCGTTCATTAGTGTGCTCATTTGTTCATTCATCATTCATTCACTCATTTATTCATTCGTCCATTCCTTCATTCCTTCATTTGTCCAGTCACCTGTCCATTCATCCAGCATGTTCATCAACCCCAACCCACTGGCCAAGCACCGGACACAGCAAACATCTCGCAGGACACCACTTCCTGTTAGCAAAATTCTAAACAGAGGTTGCAAGTTGGCATCCCAGGGGCCATACTGGTTCATCCTGGGTTCGTAAAAGTTGAAATTATTGGTCCACATTTAAAAACTGGGATATTTTCCATAAAATATGGATTTCAGCTTCTCATGAATGAAAATAATAGCTGATCTTTCTTAGACATTTAGCAGGCACCAGGCACAGCGGAGGATACATTCTACACGATAAACTGCCTGCTCCTCATTGCAACCGTGGTAAGTAGGGACCATTGTTATCCCCATTTTATAACCAAGGAAACAAAGGCTGAGAGGGGTCTGGTGACTGTTAAGAAGCATTAAGTCGGTTCAGAGCCTGTGTTCTCAGCCACCACACTACACCCATTCCTGGAACATGTAGCCAGGAAGAGGGGCACATTCCCAGCCGGCAGCAGTTGGCCAGGCCTGGTGACCCCAGAGGCCTTGAGAACCCAGGGAAGCGCCATGTGGCCCTTCCTAGTTGGAATATTTCTGGTCCCTGCAGCTCCCTCAAAGTGCTCAGACCTGCAGGTATCCACAGGGCAGGGCAGAGAAGAATGAGCTTGAAGGTCTCAGGGGTCAGGGAGGGAGTCTCCATGACCGAGAGAGGGGCGGGGGAGAGGGAGAGGGAGAGGGAGAGGGAGAGGGAGGAGGCCTTGAGAACCCAGGGAAGCGCCATGTGGCCCTGCCTAGTTGGAATACTTCTGGTCCCTGCAGCTCCCCCAAAGTGCCTCAGTCAGACTGCAGGCATCCACAGGGCAGGGCAGAGAAGAATGAGATCCTTGAAGGTCTCAGGGGTCAGGGAGGGAGTCTCCATGACCGAGAGAGGGGCGGGGGAGAGGGAGAGGGAGAGGGAGAGGGAGAGAGCGAGCAAGCGCAAGCTCGTGTGAGGGAGGGAGGGAGGGAGAGCTCGATCTCACAGTGGGCAGGAGCTCCCCAACCCCTATTTCTGCTAGAAATACATTGAAAACCTGGCTCCTGGCTTTATCATCAACCAGTGAGTGACCCTGGGCAAGTCACCTTGCATCTTGGGACTCTGTACCTCCATCTGTAAATCAACTACACATTCCACCTCACAGGGCTGTTGGGAGGAATCAGTAGGTTAATAGTTAATACACATTAGCACGATGTGTTATTAATACATATTACGGTTATTGGGCATAAAATCTTGTATTGAACCCCAAGAGCTGATATCAAGACCCAGTCCACATGCCAACTCATTGAGGAAGTCTTTCCTGATCACTAGACCTGCAACAGGCATACTGCTCATTGGGAAGGGAGAGGGAAGTAAATATTAATTGAACACCTACTATGTGCCAGTCTCCCCTATTAGCTGCGCACTACCATCTCTATTTATTGCATTTCATATTCCCTTTGATCCACACTCCCTTTTTCTATACATTTTTGTCTCTAATGTTCTTCTGCGGTCTGGAATTGTAATTGCAGGCAACCCTTAGATTTTAAAAATAATTTTAACAAGATACTTTATGAAACCCAATATTTCCAAAATATTATCATTTCAACATGGAATTAATATAAAATATATTTAAGAAAAATTTTACACTCTTTTTTGGGGTACTAAGTTTTCCAAATCCGATATATTATTATGAGGCACATCTCAGTCCAGAGCTGCCCCGTTCAAGGGGTCAAGAGCCAGAGGAGGCCAGCACCAGTCTGGAATGTTCCATGGTGAGGATAGCAGTATGTCACCATCAAGGCTTAACCTGGGGATTTTTGGCAATTCAGATGCCCTTAAAATTCTCTGTAAATTGAAATAGGTGCCGCCCAAGTTGTGGGTTGAACTGTGTCCCTCAAAGGGATGTGCTGAAGTCCCAACCGCTGGGACCTGTGGATGTGAAGGAGGGTCTTTGCGGCCGTCATCGAGTTACGATGAGGTCAGACTCGATTAGAGTGGGCCCTAAACCCAACGGCTAGTGTCCTTATAAGAGGAGCAGACAGAGACACACAGGAGAAGACCGTGTGACGACAGAGGCAGAGCCTGGAGGATGCATGTACAAACGAGAGATCGCCAAGGATTCCTGAGAACCCCAGGAGCTGAGAGAAGAGCACGGGACAGATTCTCCCCTAGGACCCTCAGGGCCAGCACAGTCCTGTCCACACCTTGATTTCAGTTTGGACTGCTGGCCTCCAAAACTGTGAGAGAATGCATTTCTGTTGTTTTAAGTTGCCCAGTTGACGGTACCTTGTGCCGGCAGCCCGAGGAAACGAATACAGTCCACATGGAACTCACATCCTTCAAATCATCTAAATGGAATCCGATTTTCCTAAAGCAATGGTGCTGTGACTGCAGCTTCCATTCACGGCTCAACTTTTCCTATAAATGACTCCAGTTCCGTATTTCAGTAATAAGTTATGAAATCACTTTATAATGTATTTATCAACTGATTTGACATTGCGTTAAAATCACTGGTTATGTAAGACTGTGAGGAGAAACACCACACAATTCCTGCCTTATTTTGAAACTTCTTCTTCTTATGATGATTATTATTACTATTATTTTACATAAACGAATAAAGGTAAAGGGGTTTCCTTCTCAGAACCCTAGAATTCTAGAAGTCTCTTTCTGGGTGGTTTAGGAAATCACCCAGAGTGGGGGCCACTTCCTGTGCGTTTCTGAACTACCAGGCAGAGGAACTAGATTTTGGTGGGTTTGCCTGTAGCAAATGGTCCCAGGAGACCGAGCCACTGGCCTGCGTTTTAGGTCCATAAAGAAAGCTGAAAGTCACCTGCTTTCTTAACAGAGGTGCTGTAGGACACCGTCAGCTCTTATTCAGTCTGACAGCTTCCTATTTCAGTTTCTTGTGGTCCTTTGATCACATGTTTATCAAACGCCAGCCTGGAACCTGGGTTCTCCAGCAGCAAGTTTTCTTATGTCAGCCTCAAATTCAAGAGAAGGACTCCCGTAGACAAACCCGTGTTTTGCGGGTGTCATCAAGTTACGATGAGGTCAGACTCAATTCAAGTGGGCCCTAAACTCAACGGCTAGTGTCCTTGTAAGAGGAGGAGACAGAGACACATAGGAGACAATCGCCCCCATGTTACGAGCTGAACTGTGTCCCACCAAATCCACATGTTGAAGTCTTAACCCCCGTGACCTCAACATGTGATGTATTTGGAGACAAGGCCTTTAAAGAGGTCATTAAATGAAAATGAGGTCATTACTTTGGGCTCTAATCCAGTATGACTGGCGTCCTTATAAGAAGTGGGGCTTAGGACACAGACACACAGAGGGAAGACTTTGTAAAGACGCAGGGAGAAGATGTCTACAAGCCAAGGAGCGAGGCCTCAGAACAAACCAACCCTATTGACACCTTAATCTCAAACTTCCAGCCTCCAGAACTGTGAGAAAATAAATATCTGTTCTTTAATCACTCAGTCTGCGCTATGTTATTATACTGACCCTAGAGAATGAATACACTCTCCCCATTCCACGTGAAGGCTGGTTTAAAAATGCCTCCTTCACAAATCTGTCTTTGCTTTTCCGCCAAATTCCTCCCTGCTCTGCACAGCCATGAGATTCCTTATAATTAGTCTCTGTTGCTTCTAAGTAACTTTAAACTTATCTGATTACTTTTCTGATTTCAAAAGTGACATGTCACTAATTCATACCTTCCAGAAAAATATCATGTAAAACATGAAAATCCCTTGCAATCCTCCAGTTTCTATATCTTCGAGTACCTCTTATACTGTGGATGAAAAGGGGGCGCTGTAATAAATTTAACTCATGGGGTGATCTGATCATAAATGCCTAACTGGAATTTATGGTCAGGAGTCACACCCCAGGCACATAACTCCTTTAATAAAAGGTTTACTTTGCCTTAAGCAAGCCCTGTCTGTTGTTCTTATGCATCTAGGTTAACACACCTTTGAAATGCCTCTTTTTCAGACCCCTCAGAGGCATAACCACCCTCAAGGGAGCACATAATCTTGTTAATTATCTCATAATCCAATCCCCTCCTTGCTTTCCCCCACCTTCATGTAATCTTCCTTATGCCCCCTCCTTAATCCCAAATGCAAATAAGAAGCTGCAAATTGCTACTCTCTGGAGCATCTGAGATCTTGCTTTCTGAAACCACCATCAGTTTGGCTCAAATAATCTTCTGTAAAAATTCTCTATGGGTTTGGACGTTTCTTATGTCGATACACTCTTTAATATTGTTTAAAAATAGAGCATACCTTTTACATAAGTTGTGCGACTTACTTTTTTTACTGAAAAATATATTTCAAACATCTTTCCATGCCAGTAGCAACCTCGATATTTTCCTGGCTGCACAGTATTCCATAGTATGTAAATGCTATATAGCATTTCTTTAACCATCTTCCCATTTTGGGGCACATGCGTTGTTTCTGGTTTTTAATTTTTTGAATGTCAGAAACAATGCTGTTGAAAGGAGGCTTCGCAGGGATATTTTTGCACATGCGAAGAAATGCTTCGAAGTAGAAATGCCAGGTCAAAGAATATAAACATCTAGAATTAAATAACGCCAAACCGTACATGAGAAACACTGCAAATTAACACTCCTCCTGCCAATAGCATATGACAATGCTCATTCGCCACATCTTTGCCGACATTAGTTAGTATTACTTTTTCATCTTTTCTCGAATGATTAATGAAAAATCGTCTCTCCCTGTTAATTAAGAGCAGGTATTCAATCTCATTCATGGAGGAGATCCTGACTTAGGTTCCCCAATTTTTTTCAGTGCCTCGTATTTAACAAATGTAGTATGGACAAAAATGTTTGCCTATCAAAATATAACAAATTTTAAAAAGTGGAAGCAACCTAATTGGGAAAACACGTAGGACAGACATAATTAATCAAATGCACTGAGCATTGATGGAGCGCTATAATCTTCGAACTTGCTAGAAAGAGAGAAACAGATGTACCCACAAGTAAAAACAGGACTAGTTCATCATTACAAGGAAAAGAGTATGTTTTGGCTAGAAGTTAAAAATGCAAATGAAAACAAACTTTAAGGGATCATTACAAACCGACTTCATTGGTAAAGGAAGGGAAATGGGTAATACACAACGGCCAGGGTGGGAAATCCGTGAATGTATGCGTGCTTGGCAGGTTTATAAATGGGTTCAGTGTTTTTGAAACTCATGAGGGTTCAGTGAATAATGAGTTGAAAAGCTGTTAATATCTTTGATCCTATAATTATCCCCAAGGAAACACGCCCAAAGGGTGGGGGGAATAATTGTACATAAATGTTCACAGCAGTGCTCCTCGTAAGAGCAAATATTGGAAACAGCTCAAACGCCACATAATAGAACCATAGCTAAGCAAATCTAGAGTAGCCACCCTTACGGAGTATGGGGACCGCGATGGAAATTATGTAGAAACTCAGTAGTTGGGTGATTAACTTGGGTTGAGTGAAAAAAGCAGAGTATAAAATAGTTGGTGCCTGTGGATTAGAAACACGTGTAAATATTTAATTCCTTCCTTCGTTTCCTTCTTCCCTCCCTCCTTCCCCTTCTCTCCTTCCTTTGCTCTCTTTCTTTCTTCTTCCCTCCCTCCCTCTCTCTCCCATCCTTTCCTCCTCCCTGCTCTAGTCACGCAAGTCCCCAATCGGCCTAAATGTCTTCTCCCTTCTGAGTCTTGTGCGGTCTCCTCTACCTGGATGTTCCCCCACCATCGCGTTCAGCCTTGGAATTTTTAAAAACTCAGTTCAAAAAATAAGATATTCTCCTTGGAGAAGGTCAAAAGCAACACAGTCTCAAGATACGGTGAGCAGGTAAAGGGTACGTGTCTCCCACTTCAAACTGCCCTTTGCGATGACCAAGAGCAATAGTCTGAGCACAGTCTTCTACACGGTTCTCTCTGCTTTCACTGCCATGGTGAGCAACTACCCAGCCTTCGGTTCTCAGCTTCAATGTCATCTCTTCTGAGAAGACTTCCCTGACTTCACCCACTCTCCAGAGCAGGCCAAGCCCAGCACATCTCCTCTGCAGTGCCATTATCATGACAGGTTTGTGTGACTGTTTAATATCTATTTCTTGCACTGAATGGCAAGCTCCACATGGGTAGGGATGTGGTCTCTGTCTTGCTCACAACTGGGCACCTAATAAGAGCAGCCCTTCAATGAGTCCTGTTGAATAATAATATTATTCATGAATGATGAATGAAAAATGTCAGGCAACATTGTTGGGAGCTTATTCTTTGCCAGATGCTGTTCTAAATGCTTTCTGTGGATTATTTAGCTTAATCTTCACAACAATATTAGAAGACATTCCCATGATCATGTCATCTGCCCAGGATACACAGATGCAAAGGGACAGAGCTGAGACCCAAATCCTGGCAACCTGGTGCTCGAGCCTTCTGCTCGTACCTCTCGGACGTTGGTGACACACAGAAGGAGAGACTCACCCACAGAGGCGATATCGGCGAGCTGACTCTCGGCCTCCTCGGGGTTGAGCAGGTCTGTCTTGCTTTTCTTTATGGTGGCTCTCCGCAGAGCTCCAACAATGGAAACATAGCAAGAGAAAAAGATGTGACCCTTTTTGCGACAACAATGGTACCGACCAGGTGTGTCCTGGGGGCCAGGAGCTCTGTCAGGGACATTCTATGTGTCATCGGATTTAACCCTTACGGCAATCCAGTTTGATGGAAAGTAACATTACACCCACTTTACAGATGTGCAGACTGGGGGCTCAGGGAGGTCACAGGACTTGGCCCAAATCGAAAAGACGAGAATAGAGTCCATTCAATCTAAGTCTGGGATCTCAGCCACCGTTTCTCCTCTGGGAGCCCCGGGACTGGACTCTGGAACAATGATGCCTGTGAAGATCGTCCACCCCTTGACTTCAGCGTACTTGCTAGGCAGGCTGGGACCGTGGACGCCTGTCCTCAGGATTGAGTCTCCGCTCCCCCAAGAGCTTTCCAGGGGACAACGAGCTGAGCCACCATTTCCATTTCCAATAAAGTGATTACCCTGTGGGTAATCTCTTCCCCTCCCCCCAAATAGTAACCTATGGAGATGGAGTCCCAGCTCCTCTATTTCCTTCTCACTTCTGATATTTTTAATCAAAACCTCTTGTTTGTTCCGTCTAGTCAAATTTCTGACACGTAAGCCAACCGTCCTTAACAGTAAGCTGGCTTATTGGTTAAATTATGATGATTGATTTTCTTAATTTAGCAAACACAAAGGGTGCCAACCGTGAGCCAGGCACTGTTCTGGGCATTTGCAAGAATTAATGTAACCCTCATAAACAACCCAGCAAAGTGGGTACTATTACGGTCATGCCCATTTTGCAGATGAGAAAAACAGGCACAAAGCAGAAGACGCTGGGCACATGGTTAGGGCGGGAAGGGCAGGTCGGAAGATTCAAACTCTGTGCCAAGATCCAGAAACACCTCGAGGAGGCAGATTCCTGCCATTCTCCATGTCTCCTGAGCCTGATCCGGTCTCATGTTTGTTCTTGGCATCACCTGGGCCCTGAGCATCCATCCCCTGGAGGCCCTTTGGACCAAGCGGCCTAGCTTCCCTTCTGTCCTAGGACCCTCCCCCGAGCCAGGTTCAGGACAGTTACCATCAAAGGGGTGCCTCTGCTCCCCGTCGGTTTCATCCTCGGCGAGGATCACCTCTTCTGAGGAGGAAGAGCACAAAGTTAAGCTCTAGTGTCCGGAGGGCTCCCCTGGGGACGAGTTCCCTTGGACTAGAAAGGAGAAGGGTCCACCTGGCCACTTCCACTCTCCCCTTGCTGATGGCGACAGCTCAATCAGCCAGAAATGTGCTGCTCAGTTATTTCTGACTCCCAGCCCCTCTTCAGCTGCAGTAGAAAGAGCACAATGATTCCCACCTCCCTCAAAATAAAAACCAGCATCCTTACTACAGCCTATACGGTTTTGCCTGATCCAGCCCCCGTCACCTCACTGCCTTCCTCCCCTCCACTCTCTCCCCCACTCACTCGGCTCCGGCCACACTGACTTCCTTGCTATGACTCAACTCTGCTCCTACTTCAGGGCCTTTGTGCAGCCTGGAGTGCCCTCCCCTAGACATCCACACGCTTCCTTCAGGTCTCTGCCCAGACGTCGCCTTCTCAAGAGAGAACCTCTCTGCTCATCATTCCACCTCCTCTGACCGTTGTCTGCCTCACTCCCTGCTTTATTTTTAATTAAAAATATTTTAAATTTATCCTGCTTCATTTTTCTTCTCAGCATTTGGCAGCACCCAACATTATGTGTATTTGTTTATTTTCTGTCTGTCTCACTAGGATATCTGAGCCCTGTGGGCTGGGATTTGGTCTGTTTTGTTCACTGCTATTCCTAGAACAGTGCCTGGCACACAGTGGGTGCCACCTAAGTGTTTGCTGAATGGCTGAACAAAGAAACATGTGTTCACTGTATGTCAGGTACTGCTCTTCTTAAGTGCCTTAGCTTGGGTTATCTCACTGAATTCCCAGACAACCTGATGAGGTAGGTACTATCATTATCTCTGGTTGACAGTTGAGGAAACTGAGGCACAGGGAGGCGAGGTGCATTGCTAGGAGGCGGCAGAGCTGGGACGTAAATCAGAGCGTGGTTTTGGAGCTCATATCCATTATGCACTGTCCTATTCTGGCTTTATCCCAGAGGTTTTACTATCATGCTCTGGATTCTTGTTGCTAAACATGGAGACTACCAGTTCGGCCCTCTTCCTCCTCCCATCACGACCCTCTGCTCATGTCTCTGAACTGGATGCATGACTCTGTGTGCCCTGTGGCCTGGGATGTCAGTTCTTGGGCCCCAGGATGAAAGGGCCTCACCTGCTTTTGAGATCCACTCCATGTACCCATTGAGCTCTCGTTCGATCTGTTGCTGCCGCCTCAGCTTCAGAAAAGCCCGCCGGTTTTCCACCCGCTCTCTTTCTTTGGCAAACTCTCTGCAGAAGCACGCAAGAAAAAGCACAAAAATGAGAGGCCTGGCTGCTCAATAAATTTCAGGGAGTTGGGATATGTGTGTGTATGTGAGGTTTCAGAAGTTCCGGAGGGGCAAGAGATTTCAACAAGTGTTATCGGGTCTTCTGGGAGAAAATAAGAATATTCTAGGAGTGGGTATCTCTGACAGCTTCCAACATTTCCCAACAACTGCACTCAGATAGAGAAAAAAAGCTAAACCATAAAGCATGCCATGCCAACCACTGCTAGCTGCATACCCCTTTCTCATTCTCGGTGCTCCTCGCTACGGAATATTTTCAGCCCTGTTTTAGGCTAGGCCAATGAGACACACGCTGAAGGTTTCTGCAGCAGCCACACTTCCCTGACATAGGCCCCACCCTTTCCTGTTTCCCTTCTTCCTCTTTCTGTTTGGAATGTGGGACGGCCGCCTTGTGAGTGTGAGGCAACCATCTTGAGACCATGAGGCATCCATGAGATTGAAAGGCATCCTTCTACTCTGAGAAGGATGTCGGAGTAGAAATCCGATGGCACCATAAAGCCACCATACCAGTCCCTAGACATCTCATTGGTAAGAAAAATGAAACTCATTTATGATTAAGCCAAAAAATCAATCCTGGGGAGTGGGAATGATGTGTGTCATAAAAATGCATATTTGATTGTAGGCTATAATTTTATATTCGGAAAACAGGACGGGGGAGGGGAACCCAACCTATTGGTTTTTTGAATGTAAATTACAGAAAGTAAAGTTCTATAGAATTTTATTGTGTGGTGGATTGCGGGGCTGAAAAATTTGGGAAAACCTTCTGAATGAGAAGTCAGAATTGGAAAGACGCTCTCCCTTCCCTGGGCAGAGGTAGGTCAATACCAGGGGCACAGTGTGCTGAGTCTAGGCTGGGATGGATTTCAGCTGCCATGAGTCCCTTCCCTGGGTCCCCCAGTAGTATACAACCTACACAGCTGTACATGGCTTGCTAATAATGGTCTAGCCAACCCAAGGCAAGGCAAGAGGTCTGTTCTCTGCCTGGAGAATGAAAACAAAGCTTCGATGGCCTCCTCCTGGTAAGAAGATGAAAAGGGAGAGTGGAATTGGGGAGTAGCAAAGACTTACCCTGACAGCACACCCAGCACGAGGTTCAGCATAAAAAAGGAGCCAATGATGATGAGAGGGATGAAGTACAACCAGTTCCAAGTGTTCCCTGAGGCATCGTTGCTCTGTGAGAGGCGAGGAGGGAAGGCAGGTGAGCACTGGGTGGGATGCAAGGTCTGACCTGACAGATTGGGGGAGGAGGAGTCCTGGTTCTTCTGGGGCTCTGTTTCCCTAATGTCCTTGACCTGCGGAGTCCTGGAGCTCTGGCAGCCCAGAGAGGGAAATGGAGCACAGGATCAACCAGTGGGGGAAACCTAGAAGTACCATTAGAAGGACAAAGCCCCTCCTAACCATGTAGTCCTCACAGGACCCGGGAACCAATGTGACATTCAGGAGAGCGTCCCAGACCAGACTCCAGGAGGAGAAGGAAAAAAGCAAAGCCCATCGAAATGAAGACATGAACCCCTGGTTCCCTCCCTTCTCCTTGACAGTCACACCCTTCCCTTAGAGGAGGTGCACGATGGCAGGGTCTGAGGACTAGCTTAAATCACTGAGCCGGACAGCAGGGCTGTGAGCCTTTCCTCAAGTGTCTCCCTCCTCTCTTTTCTGCTGCCTCAATATCAACCACGAAAAATCCCCAGAAGTTCCCAGCTCAATTTTCAGTGAGGGAGAAGTCCACATATAGAACACTTTACTCTGATGTGGTGAACAGAACACTGTGGCAAGAAGGAAGCAAGAAGAGGGGAAGAAAATCAAGGTGGGGAGGAAAGAGAAGGAGAGAGAGATGGAGAGAGAGAAAGAGAGAAAACCCAGCTCTTACAGAGTACTCACTGTGTGCCGGGAAGTCTTCTAAGCACATTATTTATGTTAGCTCATTTAATCATTTGATCCTCATAATACCCCTGTTATCAACATGCCCATTTTACAACGGAGGAGTTTCTGTGGCCCAGAAAGACAAACTTGTCAGCCCAAGGTCGCAGAGCCAGACAGTGGTGAACAGGGGATTTGAACCTGTGGACTTAACTTCTGTGCTGGGGAATCTTCAGCTTCAGCAGCCAGAGAAGGTGGAGCCTTCTGGTGAGTCACCAGCTCTGTGGCATCTGCAGAATGTGGGTCTCCCACACGTGGCTTTAAAAGCTCACCTTTAAAAGTACATTCAGTGCTGCTGTTGCCTGGCAGAAAGGCTAACATGAGAAAGACTGACACAGCCAAGTGCTGGTGAGTCTGCGGAGGAGCTGGAACCCCCAGGAGCTGCTGATGGGAGAGTAACATGGTGTACGCATTTCCTGTGGCTGCTAACAAAGGACCACAAACTGGGTGGCTTAAAAGAACAGAAATTTATGTCACAGTTCTGAAAGCTCAAGGCGTTGGCAGGGTTGTTTCCTTCTGGGGTCTGTGAAGGAGAATATATGCCAGGCCTCTCTCCTGGCATCTGGGGGTTTGCTGACAATCTTTTGTGTCCCCTGGCTTATAGATGTATCACTCTGATCTCCACTTTCATTTTAACATGATGCCCTCCCTGTGTGCATGTCTGTCCAGATCTCCTTTTATAAGAACACCAGTCATACTGGATTAGGGTTACCCTAATGACCTCATTTTAATATAACTAATTACTTCCGCAATGGCCCCATTTCCAAATAAGGTCACATTCTGATGTATTGGGGGCTATAGGACTTCAGTATATGAATTTCTCATTTGGGGGGACACAATTTAACCCATAATTCATGGTACAACCATTTTGAAAAATGAGTTGGGAATTCCTACTAAAGTTAATCACGCACCTTCACTACCACCTGGCAATTCCACTCCTGGGAGTGCGAACCTGTACATGCCAAAGGCACCAGCAAGAATGTTCACAGAGTGATCTTCGTGACTGCCCCAAACTGGGAGCGATCTAAATCCTTAGGATGAATACATGGAATACAGTGCGGTGAATGATTGCCGCTCATCACATGAAACCTTAGAGTTGCCAAGCACAGGAAGCCAGACGAAAAAGAGTGTACAGGTACAATTCTATTTACGTGAAGTATAAAAATAGGAAGACTAGTTGATGATGCTTGAGGTCCAGATGGGGCACCCTTTGGAGAGGGTGGCAGCTTGGATGGAGGCACTAGGAGGGGTGGGTTCTGGAGCTGAGAAGGTTCTGTTTTCTGATCTGGATGCTGGTCAAACAGGTGTGTTTTGTTTGTGAAAATCTACCAAGCTCCTCACTTATTATCTGTGGGGTTTTCTGAATGTTTATTTTATTTCAATAAAAAAAAAGTTTTTTATTTTTATTTTTTTAAGAAAGTCAACTTTACTTAAAGAGGAAGGAAATTCTGATACATGCTACAACATGGATAAACCTTGAGGACATTATGTTAAGAGAAATAAACCAGTCACAAAAGGACAAATACCATTGGTTTCACTTATATGAGGTCCTTAAAGGAGTCGGAATCATAGAGATAGAAAAGCAGAATGGTGGGTGCCAGGGGCTGGGTAAAGGGCAATGGAAAGTTAGCGTTTCGTGGGGGCAGAGTTTCAGTTTGGGAAGTTGAAAAAGTTCTAGAGATGAATAGCGATGATGATTGCGCAAAAATGCGAATGCACTTAATACTAGTGAACTGGACACCTAAAAATGGTTAAGATGATAAATGTGTGTCACCTCACTACTACCCCATCCCCCCCACAATAAAAAAAAATCTGAGAACCAATCAAACAAAGGGATCCTCACAGACACAGATGGGCTCTGGGGACAATGAATGTGTCAGCCTCCAGAACATTCCCTTGTTCTAACAAGCCCCCAAATTCTGATGCCTTGCTTCTAGAAGGTTCTGGAAGAACAAATTTAGTCATAAGAACAGAAGCCCGCCCTGGCCCACTGAAGAACAAGTCTGAATTCTCTGGAGAAGCAGGCTTGGGATGGAAACAGAGTAGTGGGGTGGGGGTTAGACTGAGCGAGGAGAAGAGGCTAAGGCCCCTTGTTGATGAGGCAGCCTCCTGTCTCAGACTCTGCCCACATCCCAGCTCCCTGGCAGACCCTGTGATCTGTGACATGTTGCTCAGCATAATAACAGACACCCACAGTGCCAGGTACAAGGTCTACTTGAGCTCACTTAATCCTCTCATGCATCCCAAAAGTTGGTACATATCCACTTCTCATTTTCCCAGGTGGGGAAACTGAGGCACAGAGAGGTCAAGTCTCATGCCCACGGTCTCTGCTGTGGGTTGCATTGTGTCCCCCCAAAGAGGTGATAGGTCCTAACCCCTACTACCTGTGAACGTGACTTTATTTGGAAATACGGTGTTTGCAGCTGCCATCAGGTTAAGATGAGGTCACCAGGGTAGGCCCTAATTCAATATGACCAGTGTCCTTTCAGGAAGAGAAAAATGCCAGGTGAAGACAGAGATACACGAGGGAGAGGATGGCCATGTGACAATGAAGGAAGAGACTGGAGGGACACAGCCTTGAGCCGAAGAATGCCAAGCGTCGACAGGAGCTAGGAAGAGTTAAGAAAGAATTCTGCCCAGAGTCTAAGGGAGTGTGGCCCTGCTGACACCTGGATTCCAGACTCCTGGCCTCTGGGACTGTGAGAAGCTACATTTCTGTTGTTCCGAGGCACCCCGTTGTGGTCCTTTGTTATGGCAGCCACAGAAAATGATAGTCACTGAGCTACTAAATGGCAGAGGTGCCCCCAACCCCCTCCACCTCCCTTCCCTCATCTCCTCTCAGTCTCCCCCTCCATCATCACTCTGCTCCAGCCACGTGGCCTCCTTATGGCACCTCAGATGCACTGTCCCACCACAGGGCCTTTGCACATGCTGCTGCCTCTGCCCGAAATGCCCTTCCTCCAGATTCCTACATGGCTCCTCCATCATCTCCTTCAGGTCTCTCTGCTCAAATGTTACCTTTTCTGATGGCCCTTCACACTTTCATCCTTCGTTTCTAATCCCACTGCCTACTCTATTTTTTCCCTTAGCGCTTCTCCTCCTCTATACGTTACTTATTTCTCCAAGGTGCTGTCCAGCTCCCTTGCTGGAATGTCAGTTGTACCAGGGGCTGGAACACAGTGCTTTCTGTTCCCTGCTGCATTCCCTAGCACAATGTCAAGCATGCAGGCAGTGCTCAATAAATGTCTGCTGAATGACTGAATGAGAGGTAGGTCTAAGCTTCCTGAACAGCCCACAGCCACAATCCTAAGCTGTGCTCCCTCCTCCTTCCTCCCTTGTCTGCTTTTCTTTCCCTGGGGACTGGGGTTCTGCTGCCTGATTTCAGAGACACTTGTTCTTTTTCTAAATCTAGCCCAGTTATTCAATTCCATGCTGTGGGTCCAACGACTGATGGAGAAGAGTTGGCAGAGGGTTGGGTGCCGTTTTTAAGTAGGAGGTGGGCTTTCCCTGGGGTTTGCTCGGGAGCAAGATGGGAAATATATTTCACAAGCGGAAAGACTGGAGCTGCCACAGCTGTTCCGTGATAGTGGAGAATGTGAGGGCACGAGCTTCCCCTCCTGCGTCTCATCCCTTTGGGAAGTTCAGGGTGGGGTGTGCATGAGTCTGGATGCAGGGATGAGGAAGGGTTTGGGAAACTTGCTCACTTGTTAAAATCATTAATAATACTGGGAAGGATGTGTCCTAAAGATAGTCTTGTCTTCCTTCCAAAAGCTTAAAAGAGTCACGCTGTCTGAAATGCTATTGGTATGGCTGATGGCCCTTCCCGGTCCTCCTGCGGTTGGCTGAGGGCTGCCTAAGTGCTGGCCAATGAGGAGTGAGTGGAAATACCTGCGTCACTTTTGGACCAGAGCACTGAACTGTCAGTGTGGGACCCTCTAGGGCTATCTTTACCTCTGGGACAGCCAGCTGGCAGCGTTCTACGTGGTGGCTGCTCCATTAGCTAGGTCCCAAGTGACTATGTTGAGCAAAGTTCTCTTCTCTCCCTCTGCCAACCTGTGCTGGACAGATAGTGGGAGCAAGAAAAGCATTCGTTGTTAGAACCACAGAGATTCTGGAGGATATTTGTCGCTGCAGCATAACCCAGCTTTCCTGACTGACAGACCCTGGTATCTCCTTAGTTCTCTCCTTCACTTCTTTCTCAAACGTCACTTTCTCACTGGCCATGATATAGATCTCATGAGGCAGATGGGGAAAA